ATGACTCCCGGAAGTTTCGTCTCGGGGTCCAAAAAGGTCAAAGCAAATGGAATTCGACACTTGCCCAAAGTCTTGGTGTCTCCGGCGAGTCCTCGGAAAGCTTTTGAGTCACACTGCAAATCAGCTACATCATACCCAAGACGTGCATACTTGTCCTTGGCGTTTTGGATCCATGCTTGTCCACAAAAAGTTGCATTACATCCTTCATCCAACACAGCCCAGACTCCAGGGTCTTCCATGATGTCAACAAGACGAAGTGTGTTTTCGATCGTGGCTTCGTTGAGATCTGACAAAAGTCCCATGTAGCAAGTTTCCGGAGCGGCCTCTCTGATGACTTCCACAGCATTGGCGAGGATCTCAAACAGGACGCCAACCCTCACAGGTTCTCCAAACTCTAACTCACACTCAACCTCTTGTCGAAACATCTCCATAACCTCTAGAGTCAGAGTTCCTTCAGCTGACATACATGCATCGTTGATTTCATTCTCAATCATGGATGCTGTCGCGTCGAATGCATTGGTGCGCATGCCTACCACACTCTTTGCCATTGCCTCTCTCTTGCGCGCCTCTTCACGGGGCATCTCGTCGACGGTGGTCCCGCACAACTTGCAGTACCAACGAGACGTGGTCTTCGAACTACCTCGACGATCCGTGACCTCATGTTTGCACTTTGCGGGATCGGCGGTAGGTTTGCTCTCTTTCTTCTTTCTCTCATTCTTTCCGCAGTCAAGGCATGTCTTGTTCTCAACATATGCATTCGAACCTTGAAATGTGAATCTGGTGCAACGACGACATGGTTCCTCTAGCGGGGGGTTTGGTGGTTTCCCTTTTGCGCTCTTGTCTCCAGTACGTCGAATTGCTTCCACCGGCACGTCTGTCAAGGGATGTTCTCTCAGGCTCACGTCTCCGTCCTGGCTGACTTCGTAGTATGTGGTCACCCAGGTCAGAAAATCTGCCAAGCAACGCGAAGGGTGCGAAATGCCTGATCCCCACTGATAATATCCAGGATATTTGAACAACACTTCATGGTATGTCAAACCTTGGTGCTGACCAAACACAAAGACATTTTGTGAACCTTCAGGCAACAAGTCTTGCTCCATGTCCTTCTTCCTACGCATGACCGGCGGGGGCTTCTGCGGTGACCGACGGACATTTGGCTCGACCATCGAAAAGCTAGACGGTGGACTGCTGGTCACTCCTGACGACATGGATGCACGATCTGACGGATCAAACTCCAGCTTCTTCTTTGGGGACATCTTGTATGCCATGTAGCACGTACCACCTTCGGCAGTTTGGCCACTGACATCGACACACATGTATTCATCTTCGACAGAAGACTCATCATCACTCAATGCGAAATAGGCTGTGGCTTTGCTCGTTGACGACGTTCCTCCAGGGGACTTGTCGTTCTGCTTGGGAAACTTGCAAGCAGGGTCTCCTGCCCAATGTCCTTTTCCTCCACAACGCAAGCATTTGGACACTGACTTCAACTTTGCTAGGCGTGCAATCCTGTCTTGTACGCTTAACTGTGTCCTGAACACATACTTGCCTTTTCCTTTGCTCTTTCCACCTTTCTTTCCTGAACCTTTGCCCTTGCCTTTGCTTTTGCCCTTCAACTGGTCAGTCACGACAAAGGCCATCATCTGGTGCTGGGCCGCACTGCCCAGTTCTTCTGAGACATCATTCTCTTCATCATCACACTCTCCCATTGCCATCAACGCTGTGGCAACTTCAGGGTCCTCGACATAGTCTTCGTGTTCTTCGTCTTCTGGTTCTTCATCTTCTGCTACGACATAAGCTTCATGCTCATAGTCATCCTCTGCTTCTGGCTCATAGGAATCTTCATAGTCCCATGAGTCATCCTCAACAATGTACGCAGATCTCTGCCAACTGCGTCCTTTTCCTTTGTAGGAGGACTTGCTTGAGAACTTGCCTCCGCCTTTCTGCCTCCGAGGGCTTGCATTGCCAAAGGCGGACCAGCTGCGCAAGTGAATTTGTCCATGGAATTCAAGCAAGAACTTGGCGTAGACGTCAAAGGATTGGTTGTCGCCTGCAGCTGTCTTGATCATGAGCTGTTCTGTCTTGCTCAAGCCAGAGCCTTCCAGAAGTAGCTCACCACGCATGGGGTCTGAAAGACTTACCCCACCATCCATTTCCAAAAGCTTCCTCCACCAACGACGTCTTCGTGAAATGTAGCTAGTCATGCTTTCTGTCGATTGGCGAGACAAGGGACCATGTGGGAGTTGACCCACTCTGAACAACTCTCGTGCTTCTTGCTGTCGAAGTGGAAAAACTTGTGCACGGATACGCGAAATCAACTCATCGATGCCAGTTGGAGTCAACAACTTCTCCAATCCCATGTCTTGTGCTGCAAGGTATGCATCACCTCGCAGGCCTTCCAACAACTTGTGAACAAGTGTTGCATACTCTGCTCCATCATCATCCAGTCCGGCAGTGCTCAGAACTGGTTCTTCTTCATCCACCACGCTTTCAGACTTCGGGGTTCCAAAAGCTTCAAATCGTACTTCTTCATCCTCTGATACATCCTCAGCCTCGGTCGCATGAGTCGGCCTCCTCTGAGAACGTTCTGGTGTGGCTGATTGGCTTCCATGACTCGAATAGGTCTTCTCTGACTTCTTCTTCGCATGTTTCTGCTTGTACAAAGCAACGCGGACCTTGGTTCGAAACTCCCAATCGAAGAAACCATTTGGATTGCCACTGTAGATGTATGATCCGCTCTTCGTCTCCTGTGGTCCTGAGATACTTCCTCCATGGGATGTGTACCGCAGGCCAGCCAGCGACATCGCAACCCAACAAGTTTCGCAAAGCACTGGAATTGCAACGGTTCGACGGATTGCGCGCAGGGTCACGCAATTGGGTTCAACGGTTGGATCCAGCAAGTCTCCCCGGGTGAGTCAGATCCTGAGGGTGCCCCTTCAGAACCTGCTCCGCTACCAGTTTGAATCTCGCACAGTTCCTTTTCGCAGCAGCGAATCAGCTCAAGGGCCCTGTTCAGCCGAAACAGCAGCGGCGGTGCATCAACTGTACGCAATACACCCTGGCTACAATCGGTGAAATTCACACAGGTGTTTCATCATCATATAATAGCTCTAACTGACTAAGCCTTAAACTAAATGAGACAAATAAAATTGGTTTTCCCACTCTTGTTAGCTAACCGGTAGCAACGGGAACTTTCTTTTCTTTATGATATAGTAAATTCCGGGGGGCGTTGCGAAGGGCTCTTCTGTAGAAATCTTTTGCGCTACGGATCTGCATCAATACATCTGGGACCTATATAAAAAATATCTGTTGAAAAAACATATATATATATATTTTGCTACATGTACATAAATAAATATATAAATACATATTACATATAGCTGCAGCTGCATTTGTATGTATGTATGTACGTATGTATGTATGTATGCTATCAGTGCAGTACATCTGGCGACTTATACAGCTGTAATTGTAGGTAGTGTATGCTACAACAGGTATGCTACAGGTGGTTGTGTAGAGCTGCTGCTACGGAGTTTGTATCACTAGACTTGCTAGAATTGCTTTGGCGCTGGGAACCTGCTTGGGTGAACTGCTTTGCTGCTGGGGTCTTGCTTGGACAACTTTTTGATGGGGTCTTGCTTAAGTAGAACCAAACGCAAAATTACTTTCGTTGGAGCCTTGCTTCAGTAAAAAAAGTATACAGTATTCATATGCTAACATAGAAATTAATAAAACATATGTTTGTTTGCGCGTTCGTGACACGTCTCGGCTCTTTAGTAATTCTTTCTTAGGCGGGGACGTGGCCGGACAGGGCATGCGAAACGCGCCCCTCTGCGAAGATTGCGCGCGTCAAGTGCTCAAGCGTGAGGCGCAACGCGACTTTAGTGAGGGGAAGTGAAGCAAAAATTTTGGCCAAATGTCATCCGAATTCTCGGTGTGCTGGATGAACTCTTTGCGGAGATCCTGCGCGTCGGATGCTCAAACGTGAGGTGCGCGAACTCTGTCTGGGTGAGCGCGGCGCATGAACCCTCTGCGGAGATCTTGGGATAGTGTGCGTGTCAAGTGCTCAAACGTGAGGTGGAATGCGAATTTTGTTGCCAAAGTGTGTAACGGTCGTCGAAAATTGAAGGTGGAAGTTGCCAAAGTGTGTAACTGTCGTCGTGGAAAACAAAGGTGGAGGAGGTCAAAGTGTGCAAGGGTCGTTGAAAACAAAGGTGGAAGTTGCATCGCCGAAAATAGAGGTGGACGTCGCCAACGTGCAACTGTCGTGAAACACGAAGGTGGAGGTTTCCAAAGCGTGCAGCTGTCATCGAATCAAAAACGGAGGTGGAGGTTGCCAAAGTGTGTAATTGTCGTCGAAAACGAAGGTTGAGGTTGCCAAAGCGAGAACCTGTCGTGGAAAACGAAGGTGGAGGCCGCCGAGGTCGCCAAAGTGTGTAACTTGTAACTGTCGTAGATATGGCCACTTGGTAGCATTATGCAATACGCGAAGTAGCTCCTGGGAACTGTGGCCTCAGAACTGGCCACTTGTCGTGCAAGTGCACAGCTGTACCGGAAGCAGCTTCTGTGTGGTGTGGTTTGAGAACTCGTCTGTGGCACACCATGCGGCTTTGCGCGTTCTCGGTGGGAAGTGCCTTTGTGTGAGTCCGTGCCACTGGGAAGGTAAAAATGCAGGTGTAAATTCGGCGTCTCGCTGGGGAGTGGGATGGTTGGCGGCGCACACGATGCTTGGTGTTACATTGTGTATCTACTCTGTGGCACACCGTGTGACCAAATTAGATCCACGAATTCCTCTGAGTGCCAGGTACACCTATGGTCACCTATGCCATTCACTGTATATCATAGGAAGTCTTTCAATGGGGTTCTTCACATACCTTCCTATGATGTAGTACAGTGCACCTAAATATGACGCACGCGTGTTTCCACGCTCCCGGGCCACTCGTCGACTAGTTAAGGATTGTTTGCAGCAAATCAATATTCAAGAATAGTTTACCAGGCCTGGCCTTTGCCAGCCTTCCCCGACGTCTGGCACGTCGCCCCTGGAGAGCCATTGGGCTAATTTCTCCTGCAAACACAGCCGTTTCGTGCATCATAGGAGGGATGGCAGGGATGGCCTCCAATCTAATAGGAATGGCCAGCCATGGCCTCCAACATACTGTAATAGGGATGGCCTCCACCCTAGCAGGGATGTTCGAACAGGGAGACCCCAGCTCCAGTGTGGCCCCATTCGGGTTCCCTATTCATGATGACACCGCCCCTGCCATCCTTTTCAACAAGGTGGGCAAGAATATTCTTGACTGAGAGAAGGCACGTACATAGAATAGGCTCTTTCTGTTGCTCACTGTTTACTTGCTCTTCCACCCTAGCCAGTTCTGAACCAATGGGGGGACAACAGTACAAGCCGTCTGTTCTCCGCAGGCTTCTTGGTGCTCTTCAAGCCCATTTCGTCTGCGGCAGCCAACAACAGGGCATGTCCAACCTTGGCTGTGGCTGGGGTATTTCCAGCTCGAAGGAAGTGCTCTACTCGGTTGCTTGGAACGTGGCATTGATTTTATCCAGATCGCAAAGCATCAGCTTCAGCACCAGCTTCATCTCTTCGGTGCTCCGGACTGCTTCAAAAAGAGTCCTCACAATCTTTGATTTGCTCTCGCAGTGCCAGTAGCCTTCATGGCAAGAGAATGTACCAAGTCGTGCTCCAAGGGGCAGAATCCGCTGTATCCTCCTGTGCCGCGACCCGGGGCCAGAAATCTGCGATGCCTCTTCGAGGAACTGCGCAAATTTTGAGAACCTCAAATCTTTGGCGTCGGATCAAAGCCGCATCAAGCTGTCACGCTGATAACCTTAGCCACAGACTTCATGGCACGGGTGGCCAGGGCCCGAGGTCTCGGAGTCAAACGGCCTGAACCAAAACTAGCCGTTCTGTGAAACCAGTCCAAACGGGCCTCACGGGCCTCATTGCAAGCCTTCAAACGAAAACAGGTACATTGTGGTACATCTGGGTGAGGCATATCTCTTTCTCACTGCTCTTGGGGCACATGGCGGCCGACCAGCAAAGGCACGCAGCTGCTGGCAAAGCCTGTTGCACTCACAGGCGTTGAGCGAAACGGAAAAGTCGATTCATCCTGTTCCACAAGAATACTGTTCCATGTGTCTATCAGGTGAGAGCTCCGGACAGTCACAACTACCACACCTGGATCCAACAAGCATCACTACCAAGCAAAGCGCAGCTGGCACCGACCCCCGCGACATAGCTCGTCAAAACATGTTGGAAGGCTGTGGATGGCTTATCTTGTGCCGATGACTTCCCTCACAAGAAACGCAGGAATGCTCATCATTCTGTGACAAATTGAGAGTCTTCTTGGACATCATTACCCCTCAACCCTGGAGGGAGATGTCTCGTTGCGAATCCACAGAAACCATATAAACCTACAGAGTGGGCCCACAGCAACGTACTGCATCTTCCTGGCATGTGCCGAACGTGCAGCACATGAAAGTTTGATAGAGCTTGGCCATGTATGCGTATGCTGTATGCCTATGCTGTATGCGTCTTGGCTGTGCGGATCACCAGGGAAGAAACATCAATCAGGCCATGGGCATACAAGCATCATTACAACACACGGCACCGTTTCGAACCCCAGGCAGCCACAGGGCCACATCCAAGACCTCAACCCAAAGCATTGTCAACTGGGCTGCCAGGCACTGGTTGTCGCCTGACCGGACGCAGCTTGCCCCACTGAAGGGGAGGCCCTCCTCCTAGAGTGCAGTTCGCAATGGATTGCAGGATGGATGGCGGCACGTTGGCAAACAGCTCTCCCATCATCAGCTTGCTGCAAACTGAAAGGCGTCTGTTTATGTGATACGGCTCGAGCCTCTTCTGGTGCACCAGAGCCATAATCAAGAACCTGACAATGTGTTGGTGCGCTGGGACGGTCAACAGATCAGTGCAACTGTGTGCGTGTGAGATCGAGTACATGCAGGCCGGTGTCGTGCACGGCAACGATGGCATTCATGGTCAGGACCGGCAAGAGCCGTTCGAATGCCCTTAGGCTATACCTCAACAATTGGGCCACCATTTCTCCACGACGCATAAGCCAACCAGTGTCGATCGGATGCCAAGCAGCTCGACCAAATGGCCAGCATCGAAAAAGGCCACATCGACTGGACGTCCTTCCACATCTGCGGGCTCGAAGTCGGCTTGGCCTCAATCGAGCTCGGCACCGCAAAAAAAACAACCAAACATAAACCAGGGTTCTGACTCTTGCCGTGGAAGATGAAACGCGGATCCGAGTCCTCTTCACAAAACACTGGGACATACAAGAAATATGTGAAACAAATCGACCTTCTTGCCCTTGATGCGAATTGATGTTGACGCAGTTTTGTTTTTGGGGCTCCTCTAAAGCACGAGCAGCAGGATATGGTAAGATATCATAGCCTCAAACTGCCAGTTTCCACATTAGGCAAATGGCAAACGTTCCCCGTATATATTCATCCGAGCGCTCAAGGAAAGCACTGAAAACACGTGCGTCAGGATCATCTGCAATCGCATGCCTTGGTCTGACATGGGAGGGACCTTCCACATCCCGGCCAGCATAATGAGATGCCTGCATCCAGTTCAAAGCACTGAAGCCATGGGAGGTGCCAAACCTTACTTACACCAAGCAGTCGCAACCGTTGCACACCACGCTCACGCTAGGCCCAGTGCTCCACAATGGTTTTCGGGCCTTAGACGCTCGCTCGTTGCTTTGGTGGGTTCCCCCACCACAGGGCCAAGTTCAGTGCGGACAGCCCGGATGAGACCATAAAGCAAAAGAGCTTCATCATCCTGGAACATCCGAGGTGAATCAAGTAGGAAAGGCCATGCGGCCATGCTTCATCCTAAACCAAGACATGTACGAAACATACGCTCAAGTGGAGGGAGAACAATACATTCTCCAAACATATTTTTGGCAAACACTGGCCACACGCAGCATTCATTCACGATTACTATGCATGTCCTGTGCGAAGCGGGCATTGCCCACCCGGCAACATTGAAGCTGGGGATGCAGGGGGTTGGAACCATGACGTGGAACAACTATTCTTGCGATGGCTGCTTGTTTATTCTTCTTAATGAAGAATCCGGTATTGCTAAGAATCGAAGGATTAGAATGAACTAGTCATGAAATCTCATGAACTGAATCCTCTCCTGCACGGGCCCGAGTCGAGGCTGGTTGTCCCGACGCAGGTGTGTCCTCAAGGCGACCGCACAGGAGTTCAGTAGTTCAGCATCCCACACAGCTAGGACACCGGCAAGTCATAGTGCAAGGAGGTGGAAGGGCGGAAGTCCATGTCCCTGGCAAGGACAAGTCTCGTGCTGCTGAGATCCATGGCAACTCGATGGGCTTCACAGGCAACCCATCTTTCTGTGATACAAACGCTGCATGCAAAATGCCAGGGACCCTGCGCAAAACGCTTCACGGATGTGAGGCTGCAACAGCGTTCGTAGGTAAAGGACGAGTCCCAACCTTGAAGCTTCACGGGGTGAATGCATGGGACTCTGCCAAGGGAGGCCTCATATTACAATCCCAATACTAAGTAGCGCTTCTTGTTACTAGCTATTTGCTCCTAGTAGTAATGCCAGGAGCTACTAGCAGCGTCTTGCTACTAGTAGCGATGCCCTTTGTTACTAGTAGCTTCTTGTTATTAGAGTTGTTCAACCTGGAAAATATCTTTAAAGCTCATTCCAACTTGGAATTATTTCTCTACCTGGCACTGGTCTTGCCTTTCTTCACCTTCAGGCGCTCGCAGCGCTCATGGCTACATGAACCCCCCTCCGCCACTGGGGTGCCCATCATCCTTCGCCCTCCTCCTTACAGCACCGCTCAAAGGTGAATCCTCCTCGCCTCAAACAGGGTAAGTAGCTGAGTAGCTTCGGACACCACACCACAGCAGCAAATTGAGGTTTGCCTTTTTCTCTCTCGTTGATGTCCCGTCTGCTTTGCGCCAAACTCATACAATTACACCACCGTAGACCCCAATGACCAACAAGGGAGACAAGAAGGGAGACAAAAGGAAACAGAAGGGAGACAAGACGGACACAATGACCAACAAGAAAGGAGACAAGACCGGAGACAAAGGGAAGACAAGACGGGAGACAAGACGGACACAGTGACCCAGAAGAAGGGAGACAAGACCGTAAATAAAGAGGCAGAAGGGACACAATGACCGACAAGAAGGGGGACAAGACGGGAGACAAAAGGATACAGAAGAAGGGAGACAAGAACGGAGACACAGGGAGACAAGAAGGAAGACAAGGCGGACACAATGACCAACAAGAAGGGGGACAACAAGGGAGACAAGAAGGGAAACAAAAGGAAGAGACAAAGGGAGACAGA